CTTTGTTGAGACCATCTTGCTTTAACAACTTCACCTTTTTTTAACTCCAGATTATCATGCTTTCTTTTCACTTTCTCTCTGTTCCTTCTCCTTCTTGTTAAAGTTCCTCTCCTTTTGTTCATCCTAGACTTTCTTCTCATCTTTTGCTTCTGTCCAGTTTTCTTTTTCCTGACTTCCTTCCTCTTCCCTTTTTTATTCTTGACTTTTACTTTCTTTTTCCTATGTAGTTTTTAAGTCCTCTTTCCCATAAAAGTAATCGGATCTTTACTCTACTCTGTACCTGCCATTTCACCACTTGTCCCTTTCCTTCACCATCTGTTTAATCTTCATTAAAGAAAACTTAAATTCTGACTTGTAAGTTTAGTGGAGGTTGTTTTGGTTTTTTCTCATTCTTCTTATTCCTTTTGTAGCCCAACTTTTTAAAATTTCTCATCATCTATGACTGTTACTTCCTACCCTTTTGACAAATGTTTTCCCTTAGTGCTGAGTCTTTTTTTCAAGAGCTTTTGTGTTTTCTCAAATTCAATTTTCATTTTAGTGTTAAATTTATAAATTACATTTCCATGATGCCAAACTTACCTGATTTCTTTTTTTTTTAAGTCTCTTCTCTTACACTTTTGCTTCTTTTCCAGGTCTCATCTCACTTGCACTCAATTTCTTTTTATCACCTTGGTTGTATCATTCAGGTATTGGCGGCAATAGCCAGTCCATCTGCATGGGCCAATACACTTGCCTTTTCTTTTTTGCTTTCCACTGCTAGGAACCAAAACCTGGGACTTGTACTTGCAAAGCAAATGCTCTATCATGAAACTCTATCTCCAGCTCTAGACTTGTCCTTTCTTCTATATTGAGGTGAAAGGTAACCCTACATTTAAACTATTTAAATCCAGCCATCTTGTTTGAAGCAGTATTTACTAACATTTTTGTTTGATAATCTTTAACAAGTTTGTTTGTGTAGACATTTAAGATGAGAGCTGTTGAAATATTGAGTGGACTGTCTATGTTTATCTTCCTGTCTTTCTTGTAGTTCTGGAGAATAGGAAGAGCACATGGTATGACTAGGGGAAGATGTTGGAGGCCTGAGTTGAGGTAGTGCTTTCTGTTTAATAGTTAGAAATGGGATTGATTAAATAAACTGCACTATTTTATATTCATATTGTGTGTCTGTAGCATTCCAAAATAAAGCTCTTAGACCTGTTTAAAAGGGGAATGGAACACTTCATTAACACCTAGTATTTCAGTTAAGTTGATTAAGAATTAGATCTAGGACCAAGAGTCAGGATGCTCTTGGGAACTGACAGTAGTGATTAGGTGGCAGTAGGGCAGCCAGGTAGAGGAGGTTCTTAGAGGCTGTTGGCAACAGAACTGTGCCAGCGCTCCCAAGTTCTGTGAGTGTTCAGGTCATTGAACACACAGATAACGAAAGTTGGAAAAGCAGTAGTCACGTGCACAATGTGGATCACTAAGAAATTCCCAGCACTTCTTTCTTGAGTTGGAGCTCATTTCCAGTGGGTGGACAACCAGTGCATCCACATGCAGAGACCAAATGAACCTGGCTAAGAAGATGGCCTGCATGCTCTCCTGAATATGGAAGAGGTGAGCAAGGTCAGAGAGAAGATAGACCTGAAGGGGATTATTAAGAGATCATTATGAAAGGCATGTAGAATTCTCTAGTGTGAATAATCCAGATTTAGATAAAAGGGAATATGTAGTAGTAGCTCAAATTAACCACAGCGTTTGAAAATCTTAATCCTCCCTATTGCCAGAGTGTGAAGAGTAGTGACTCACCTAGTGCCATAAATGGCTCTATATTGAACCAATAAGATTTTTTCTATATGCCATTTCATTCCTCCATGTTTCACCAAATATACACTGAGCTCAAAATTAGAAAGATAATAAAGTACCTGATCCCTGGTCAGTGAATATTTTTCCTGTTAATGTCTGTCACTGAAATGGGAGATAATAGCTATTGCAATGCAATCGGGCCAGGATGGGAAGCATAGGCCTATGGCAGCACTATCCATCAGCTCTCATCAGAAAAGATGTCCCAGATAATGGAGGTTTTGGGTTAATTAAAGGTTACATTATTTCAAAATTTTAAAACAATTACATTTACTTTTTTTTTTTTTTTGGTGAGATTGGGATTTTAACTCAGGGTTTCATGCTTGCAAAGCATGTGTTCTGCCGTGTGAGCCACAACTCCAGTCCATTTTACTCTGATTATTTTGGAGATGGGATCTCCCAAACTATTTGCCTGGACTGGCCTCAAACTGAAGTTCTTCTGATCTGAGCCTCCCAAGTAGCTAGAATTATAGGTGTGGGCCACTGGCACTTGGCTTAAAATCATTTTAGATAGAGATTTTTAAAAAGCTTTTAGTCACTATAAAATTATTACTAATAATTTTGTTTTATTTAATATTTACAGTATTAATGATAGTTGATAAAAGTGATCCTTGTACAAGAAAACGTGATTAAAATAAAAAGCACCTGTAATACCACCTCCTAGAAGTAACCATTTGAGTTGTCTTTCTTCATATGCTCTCTCTCTCTTTCCTTTCTCCCTCTGTATTTTAACAAAATTACAATATTTTGTCTTAATTTGGGCTGCCATACAAAATACTTTAGGCTGACTGGCTTAAACAACATTTATTTCTCATAGCCAGTAGTTTCACAGTCTGGGGAGGACTCTCAACTGTTTTGCAGATGGTCACGTTCTTACTGCTTCTTCACATGGGGAAGAAAGAGGTCCTCCACCTCTTCCTTTTTTATCAGGAGTAATCCTATCATGGGGCTCCACCCTCATGACTCATCTAACTGTAGTCACCTCCCAAGGCCCCAGCCCAACTAGTATCACATTGGAAATTAGGCCTTCAACACAGGAGCTTTGGGGGACAGAGACATTCGGCCCGTAGCAGTATTTTTATGGCATTTTGAGTATCATTAATTACATCTTGAACATCCCAGGCTACTTTAATGACTATGTAATATTTTGCTATGGCTGTAACCTAATTTTTTAAGGATCTTTTAACTTTATTTATAGTATTTTGATATCCCAGAACAACAGTCACATAACTGTCTTAAACATATTTGTCTGCGTCTCTGATTATTTCCTGACGGTAGATTCCTAGAAGTGTGATTATTAGTGGTGAACTCAGGGGCCTCTTGCTTGATAGGCAGGTGCTTTACCACTTGAGCCACTCCACCAGCCCTCCACTTGGTGGTTTATAATTTTACTGGATCCTCAGCTTTGCTCCACACAGATACAGGACCCATGATCTCAGCAGAGTCCGTTGGTTCCTTGTTTGAAAGAAGAGGTTAAATTGCAGGTAGACAGCATCATGGTGTCACAGCTACAGTTGCTCTGGACTTAATGGTCTAAAGGTGTCTGTGTGTTTTATTATGTGTGAAGATGTGAGAAACTATTAACACTGCCTTTTTGGTATCTCTTCAAAGGAAGAATATTGCTTATTGCTACTGCTGCTAAAACAAAAAAGCTTCTCTCTTTATGTTAAGTGTGGAATTAGCCTTTCAGGTTAAAACTTCTGAAAAAATTTTTTAGTCTGTGCTAGTTAAATTAGACTTTGTGTTCCTTTAAAAGAATAAACGCGAGAGCACACAAGGGAGGGGTGAGGATAGGTAAGACACCTAAAAAACTAGCTAGCATTTGTTGCCCTTAATGCAGAGAAACTAAAGCAGATACCTTAAAAGCAACTGAGGCCAATAGGAAAAGGGGAACAGGTACTAGAGAAAAGGTTAGATCAAAAAGAATTAACCTAGAAGGTAACACCCATGCACAGGAAATCAATGTGAGTCAATGCCCTGTATAGCTATCCTTATCTCAACCAGCAAAACCCCTTGTTCCTTCCTATTAATGCTTATACTCTCTCTACAACAAAATTAGAGATAAGGGGAAAATAGTTTCTGCTGGGTATTGAGGGGGGGAGCGGGAGGGGGTGGAGTGGGTGGTAAGGGAGGGGGTGGGGGCAGGGGGGAGAAATGAACCAAGCCTTGTATGCACATATGAATAATAAAAGAAAATTAGAAAATCAGAGTGAAGTGTATAGATACAGGGTCATATAAAAAAAAAAAAAAAAAAGAAATTCCTAGTTGTAGATTAGCAGTTGCCAGGGAGGAGGTAAGGAGGTGAGATCCACCGTTAGGGCTCTGAGCAACGTGAAGGATTGTTGTGGTTTGAAACTGTTCTGTAACTGACTGGTGGATGCTCATCTGAGCCTGCACAACATGTGATGGAATTGTGCAGAACTGAATACCCAAACAGAAATGAATACAAGGAAAGCTGGGGGGTCTGAGTAAGCCTGGCAGTTTCTTTCCATGCCTCCTGGTGTGACATTATACTGTTCTTTCGCAAGGTGTCAGCACTGGGAGAAAGAAACTGGAATCTTGCTATGTTATTTTCATAAAACTTCATAAGGATCTGCAGTGATCTCAATAAAAATTTCAGTAAGAATTTTTTTAAGGCAGGTGCCAGTGACTCAAACCTGTCATCCTGGCTACTTGGGAGATTGAGACCAAGAAGATTGTGGTTCGAGGCCAACCCAGGGAAAAGATTTTTGAGATCCCCTCTCAGTGGGAAAATGCAGGGCATGGTGGTGCATGCCTTTCATCCCAGGTACAGAGGAAGCATAAAATAGGAAGGTCATGGCTCAGGCTGGCCTAGGCAAAAAGTGAGGACCTATCTTCTAAATAACCAGAGCAAAAATAGGGCTGGCTCAAGTGGTAGAGCACCTGCTTAGCAAGTGTGAACCCCTCAGTTCAAACCCCAGTACTGAAAGAAAGAAAAAAAGAATTTTTTCCTCGTTCTAAAACTGGGTAATATTCAATAGCATGAATATTTTTGGCTTAGTTACAAATTTGACATCAAATTGATAATTTTGTTTTCATTAAGTCAGTCTAATCTACTATGGAAGGAACAAATGCTTTTTAAAACTTCACAGTCACTTTCCAAAAAATGTGAAATAATTTTCTTCTTGCTCTTTCAGCCATGAAGACTTTGAATTTATTTCAGGAACACGAATGCGCAAACTTGCCCGCGAAGGCCAGAAACCTCCTGAAGGTTTCATGGCTCCCAAGGCCTGGACCGTGCTGGTGGAATACTACAAGTCCTTGGAGAAAGCTTGAGCTGCTAGCCCCTCACTCCATCCGTGACATCACTGAGCAACAGAAGGGACCACATAGTGACTGTTGGCATTTCTTTGTGCTTGTGCCTGTCTGGACACGCTTCCTAAGAACAAACCATTTTCCTTAACTTGCATCAGTTTTGGTCTGCCTTACAAGCTCTGTTTTGAACTAGTGTTTGATGTGTCTTTTCAACATACAGCTAATATTCTTACAGTACCATTTTAAAACCTTGTCTTTTTATATTATATTTATGCTTCTGTCTTATGATTTTTTCAAGGTGTTGTCTTTGTTGTAACCAATAATACACACATTGAATCTTACTCTTCATCCCTCAAGATGGAAAAAAAAAAAATCCCTAAACAATAATCTGGGCTAGACCTTGTTTGGGGAATTTTACAAGACATCTGTAGCAATTAGGTTTTTTTCTACATTGAAAATGTAAATGGCTTCCTCTCTGCCTTCCAGTCAGCTATTGATCTTTTAGCTCTTATAATCTAAAGTGTTCTTACGTCAGCTCTGGATGAATTTCTTTATTCAATAAAATTAATTTCTTGCCTTCTTACTTATGTGATACTTTTTGTAAAGTTTGGTTTATGCGTACCCTTGTAAAAAAGTTCGTGATGGAGGAGGGAAACTATAGGTATTTTTCATTTCATTTTGGAATCTATACTCAGCCCTTACACTGTAATGCATAAATGACGTTTGGGATAGCAGGAGCCCATAATTAAAGTACTCCATAATTTTAAGTGGGAAAATAAAGCATTCTTAGTCTATCCAAAAACACAGCCATTTTCCCAAACATGTCTGTAATGTTAAACACTATTTAACAATCCAACCAGAATTTTGAATATAAGTGGATATTATTGCTTTACTTAGGAAAGCTAGTTTATATTGTAGAAAAAAATCTCTCAACCACAGTGGTTTAAAATAAAGAAGCCTTAGACCAGAGGCCAGTGGCTCACACCTGTAATCCTAGCTACTCAGGAGGCTGAGGCATGAGGATCGCTTGAACCCTGGAAGCTTGAGCAACATAAGAAGAGCCTGTATCAGTAAAAGAAAAAAAACAAAGCAAAAACCACCCATAGTCTCTGAAGTATTTTGGCTCAGAAGTGTCCCAAATCACCTGCTAATTCATTGGCAGAAAAAAAAAAATTGCACAGCACAGCCCTATTCTCACATAAGGAGTGTTAGGATAAACCATCTTCCGTGGTTATAGGCAGGCAAGCAGACTGCCAAACTTGCCTTCAAGATGAATTTTACTGTCAAAAATTGTAAAAGCTAAAGATATAGGGAAAATGCATTTTTTAAAATGTCCTTCAGAAAACAGCATTGTCAACCTAAAGTGAGCGACGGATTGACTCTCCAAATGACTGCAACTAGAATGTGTGTATCATGGTGGAGCCTAGGCATATTACAGGAGACAAAGGATAACATGTTTTTTGAAAGTTAAATGAGGAAGGTTTCATAAGTTAAAACCTTTCAAGTGTGGAGGTGGCAGTCCAAGGTGAAAGGGACAGTTGCTAGGCAGACATCTTTGTAAGGTTGTGGCTTGGCAGAATCTTTGTGATGGTTGCTTTGCCACGCAAATATGTGCAAGCATCCCTCTTTCATGGCTTTACCAACTCCATTTTCCTAGAGTTTGATATAAGTGACTATTTTTTATTCTGATAATTTTCATAGCATCCTTCCAATACTTTCACTGCTACTCTAAAAATACTCAAAACTAAGAAACTATGAAGAGAAATCCACACTGACAAGACTGGAATGAAACGTGGGATGAAAAGTAACCTTTGGTATCATCAGGTAGTCATTCTTTCTGAGTCTAGTCCTCCAGTGTGCCACCAAACTCCAGCCCACCAAATAAAAGCCAGTAAAAACATGAGTCCAGACCTCTGTTCCCTTGAGGTTAACCATCTTACTTGTATATTCCAGAAAGAGAAGAAAATAAAAGCAGCCAATGACTTCCACCAATTCACAGGTTGTTATGTGTTTCTTTAAGCTACAAATCTATGTGGAAATTTTATTTTTCCTCTTCCTACTTCATAAAAATGAATCCAAGTCAATCTTTAAAACAGTCAACCTCACATCAAACCTTTCCTGCCAAGTGGTCTTGGATAGCTAAGTGCCATTTTTATCTATCCATCAGCTGGAAAAGTGGATGGAAAAACACTTTTTTTTTAAGGAGGAAGGAAAAGAAAGTGCAGTCATCTTGGCAGAAATACAGCATCTTAATCCATCAGTTCTCTTTTCCACTATGATGATCAAGACCATATATTTGAGTTTCATTTCCATCCAAGAGGGGAAAAATGATGTATATCTCTTGGAAGTCAGCACTCAAATATTTTATCAAGAAAAATCAGAAGTCAGGCTTCCCATATACAGTATATCTTTATTAGCACATATGTACCCAAGACTGGGTTGACTTACTGGGTAAGGAGGTATTTGCCCACTGGGCCTCTTTCATGTGCAGTGTGTCCATCTCAGAGGGCCTCTCTTTTGGGTGTATTTCTGCTGGATTCCATTTCTTAGTTCACACGGTCTTGTCCTGAATATATGTTTAGTAAAAAAAAAAAAATTCTGCCCACCTAACTCCCACTCAGCATTTTTCTGGACTGAGGTAAAACCTGGCCTCCCTACAGATGAATATTTGAGGTCTGTTCTTGAGAAGGGATACTTTAAGATTAAATCCTCCCTATCTCTACTTCCTGATGCCCCTGATCCATGATGCGCCAGAATTTAGGACCTAGAACTGATGAGTTATTGAAGAGGGGAGGTTAGAACTTAGAGTTACGTATCATTTTAACAACAACTGTAGAGTAATGGAGTCTCAGGAGTAATGGAAACTGCTGTTTGTGCAGGTCTATCTGCTCTGTCTTCATAGCTATGAAGGAGAGGGGATTCATAGCTGTTTTAATTTCTCAGACATGTTTACTTTCAGTCAGGTAAAGGAAGCTCCAGAATGGCTTCTTTTTATATCTATTGATTTTCATTTGCCTCAACTCAAAATAGTCCTTCTGCCAAAGTGTCATATTTAGGTGTGGCATATTCTTGTCTCCCACACTAATTACTGTAGATATTAAGGCAAATGTGTCCTAATTCAACAGTTCTCACCAGCAGATGAAGGCTGAGAAATTTAAGTTGTGATAAAGGTAAAGAAAAATAAAGGAATCTGAAATAGAAGCTTTACACTTAGAAGGATGAAGCAGGATGTGATGTTGCACATCTTAGGTAATTCCAGTTAGTTAGGAGGTACAGGTGAAGAGACAGAGGCCAGCCCCAGGCAAAGCTAGTGAGACTATCTCAACAACAGCAAAACACATTTTAAAAGGGCTGGAAGTATAGCATGTACAAGGCCCTGGGTTCGATCTCCAGTACAAAAGGGAGAGAAAGAGAGACTAGTGTGGTAAGAAAGAAAACGTACTATAATAGGCAATAGCGTAGAAATAGACAAGTAATATCCTTAGTGGTACAATAAGGAAAAAACAGACTAGTTAGAATAACTCCTCACACCAGGAGTTGGCAGAGTGGACTGGCCTGATACTGTCTTTATAAATGAAGCTTAATGGCAACATGGTCGCACCCCTTTGTTTATATACTATCGGTGGCTGCTTTTTGTGCTTCAATAGCAGTTGAGTAGTTGAGCCAGAGACCTTCTGTTGAAAAGCTGAAAACATTTACTATCTGGCTCTTCATAGAAAGATCTTCCTCTTTAAGACCAAGAGTGATTTTTGCAGCTTGGGGTCCCTGCCTCTTTAGGTGGCTCCTACCTAAAAGGGGGGGAAAGATGGGGAATAGAGCCACGCACGAGATAATTAGTGTGCAAATCTTGCCTTTCTATTCTTTTCTCTGACTCTTTGAGGAGTTGGATCATGGGGAAGAGATCAAGGACCTTACTTGACCCTTCAAAGTCAAGTAAATCACTTCTCAGTAGCCTCCTAGTCCATGGCGAGGTGGATGCTAATGGCCGTAAAACTGCCCAGCAATTCAAATAAGGGTCAGACTTCAGTAAGTGCTGGCTCATTTGGGGACACTGGAACAGAACTGTTTCCTGAATTGACCAGTTGTTAGCATCTTGTTGATCCAGCAACATGTTTAATTCTGGAAATGGGAATTAAAAGTTTGTAAATAAAGATAATTATATTGTTTAAAAGATAGTGCAGAGAATAAGAACGATATGCACATAAATTTACAAATAAAAATTCTAAACTCCTGATGACTGTCCAGGTAACTACTGATTCACAAAAGTTCATGACCAAACACCAACTTCATCAGCTTTACCAGTGTGTAGTGTTGACAGGCGAGCAGGGTCCACAAGTCAAGATTGAGAACATTCGCCCTTGCATCTCCTGACTTTCCTGTTTTAATTTGTATCTTATGCATTGTATTAACATTTTTCTTAGTTATCTTAAACAATGTCTTTTTTTTTTTTTTTCAAAACTGGTGAACAGGAACATAAAACAGGTCCTGTCTGGAGGCTGGTACCAGTGGGAGGGGAGAGGACGTAAGGAAAGGGTGAAGGAGGGTGAATGTGGTGGAAATATTGTGAATACATGTATGAAAACAGAAAAATGAGACCTGTTGAACTATTCCAGGAGTGGAGGAAGGGTGATAAAGGAGAATGATGGAGGGGGTGAATTCAACTATGATATTTTGTAGGAACTTTTGTAACTGTCACAATGGACCCCCAGTACAACAATAATATGATAATAAAAAATAAAATGGGGATAAAACATTAAAAAATGAGAGAGAGAACAAAAGGAAAAATGTAAGTATCTCTCAGGAAAATCACCAGATACCACATCGTGGGTGTACTGGGAGTCGTAGCTTTTTGTATTTCTTCACTTTGGAACCTTGGGGAAGGAATCTGATTCCTTTAGTTCCTATTTCTAATGGATTAAACTGAGTTTTCTCTTGCTGCCAGTAATATCAAGAGAACTAAGAACTTCAATAAAGAAAACTGAAGTAGAATATAGCTGAGAGAGATTGAAAACTCATGAGTGATTGAAATTACATTAAATGGAAACTTCAAAAAGGTAATCTTTTTAGAAAATAACCTGGAGTGATACTTTGTACCATGATGGCGCTGAAAGACAGCACAGGTGATATAGTTCAAGCAGATAGCCGTTTACAGGCTATTATGTTAGGAGAGATTTTCAAAATGTGTAAGCACCTGTCCCAGAACCTCCCACAGGGCAGACACTCAAATGTAAACGCACTCCTTTCCAGCTCCTTTACAGACAGCACCCTCACCTGACTGAGTGCCAAGCCTGAGGGACAGGAAGCATGTGGACTGAGTATGGTGGGCTTGTTCCAGGCTTCTCCAGCCTCTCTTGTGGCTGTGGAGGCCATGGGCCAGTGTCTGAGGAGACACTGGACAATATTTCCATTTTTCTTTTGCCGTGATAGGAAGGTGCAAGAATGCTCTGTAACAAAACTTGGTGGACGTCATACAGCAGTTTCCATGGAACTGTATTTGAGACATTCTAAAGAAGAGGTTCTCGAATTGTGGCCTTGTCCCATTTGTGTTAAAGTCACCTGCACTGGCACTTGTGGACTGAAGGA